TGTCCCACAAATGTAGGATTCTTTAATATTAGTATTAAATTAATATTATATTAATATTATTATATTTGGCCAGTTGCCATATATGTATGTATGCATGTATGTATATGTATATGTATATGTATATGTATATGTATATGTATATGTATATGTATATGTATGGTACATTGAGGATGTGTTTGCACATACATCAAATGCCTTTGCTGGTAGATAATAAGATGGTTTCCATAATCTTCGGTCCGATCTAAGTTGTAGTACATAAAATTATCTCCTGCAATGTCCTACCCATCAGTGACTACTTCAGTTTCAACCATAACAATACAAGAGCACACAATAGATACAAACTCAAGGTTAACCGCACCAAACTTGACTGCAAAAAATACGATTTGTAGCAACAGAGTGGTCAATATTTGGAATACTCTACCTGACTCTGTGGTTTCTTCCCCAAACTCCAAAAACTTTAACTTTAGACTGTCTACTATTGACCTCACCCCTTTCCTAAGAGGTCTGTAGGGAGCGTGCATAAGCGCACCAACATGCCTACCGTCCCTGTCCTATTGGTTGTTTTTTTTAATTCATATCCATTTCATGTATTCATAACCATGTTTTATACTTATACCTGTTATCTAATACTTGCTTGACAAATAAATAAATAAATAATCAAAGTTATTTTGCACAGTGGTGGTACCAGTGGCAACTCTGCCTGTGCACACACAACAGCACAAGCAGATCAGATGAAGAACGAACAGGTGGATGGATACAAATGACAAGGAGAGGGGAAAAATCTCTAGGGAGATGAAAAAAGTCAAGATGATATCTACTGTCATATGATGGAAGGCCCTCCCCTTTTCTGGGTCCCTCAAAGCATGTCAAAAAACCCTTTCCATGGGGCAGTTGCAGTTGCCATAATGACTTTATTTGAACAGCCCATCCTTGGAGATTCAGCTGCTAGAGTCAACATTTCTAAGGAAAAACAGAGTGTATCGCTAAAAGTCTGTAGAGTTTCTCCATCATCCAGGTCATGGTTGTCCCAAAGGGGCTTAACAGATAACAGATAATCAGAGTTGGAAGGGACCTTGTAGGTCATCTAGTCCAACTCCCCGCCCAAGCAGGAGACCCTGCACCATTTCTGACAAATGGCTGTCCAGTCTCTTCTTGAAAGTCTCAAGTGATGGCGCTCCAACAACTTTCAAGAACAACTTCTGTTCCATCGGTTGATTGTTCTCACTGTCAGAAAGTTTCTCCTTATTTCCAGGTTAAATCTCTCCTTGATCAGTTTCCATCCATTAGTCCTTGTCTGGCCTTCAGGTGCTTAGGAGAATAGCTTGACCCCTTCTTCCTCTCTGGGGCAGCTCCTCAAATATTGGAAGGCTGCTCTCCTGTCTCCCCTGGTCCTTCTCATCCCTAGACTAGCCAGGCCCAGTTCCTGTAACCGTCCTTCATATGTTTTAGTCTCCAGTCCCCTAATCATCCTGGTTGCTCTTCTGTGTACTTTTTCTAGAGTCTTTCTGACAATGAGAACAATCATCCCATGGAACAGAAGTTGCCTTCAGAAGTTGTGGGAGCTTCATCACTTGAGACTTTCAAGACTGCCATCTGTCAGAAGTGGTGCAGGGTCTCCTGCTTGGGTAGGGGATTGGACTAGATGACCTACAAGGTCCCTTCCAACTCTGATTATCCGTTATCTGGATTGGCACTGCAGGTCTCAGCTGGTGTGGGGAAAGCTGCGTGCATGTGTTAGGCAAACCACCAAGCCACGCCCACCGAACCGGTGGAAAAACAATTTGAACCCCACCACTGGTATGTAGGCTTTATCTGGACCAGGGTTCCTCAACTTCAGCCATTTTAAGACCTGTGGACTTCAACTCCCAGAATTCCCCCAGCCAGCCATGCTGGGAGTTGAAGTCCGCACTCCTTAAAATGGCCGAGCTTGACACACATGGATCTGGAACCAAGTTTTGGATTAGTTTCCACTGATTCTTGTACTCTCTCCAGATCAAAGATTTTGAGCTCCTAAACAGAGTCGGGCCAAGTAAAAGGAATTATGATTAAATTAATCTCAATACTCCAAATCAACCCAACCCCTGAGGTTTCTTAATTATGCATTTAATGAAAGTTTTTGTAGGTATTCAGGAGGCAAAGGATACATTAGGGACCTAAAAAAAATTAGCATTCAGTTGTTCGCTGTAGACTAGCATTCCATCAGAATGTCTTGGCTGAGGTGGAAAAGAGGGAGCTTGGAATGAATTCCCTGAAAGAACTAAATCAGGGTTTTGTCTCCATGAAGATAAATGTTTTGACTGCATTATTTCTCCTGACTCTGCATATTTGCCCTACAGGAAGATAATCTTCACGGTTAGAGGCAAGGAAATACGTCCTCTGGCATAATCTCAGTTAATGTATCTGGTGGTTGAAAATAGATTGCTTTCGGCTAAAAACTGTTGCTGACATTCAGAAGCTGACACCCAAAAAGCTAATTTGTTGGGGTCAAGGTTAAAATAAGCGGTCTTCTCAGTCTGGCATGAGTCTACTACAATTCTACTTTTTTAAAAAAAATGTATTTATATATATCTGATACATGGGAGAAGTTAGAACTATTGAAATTAAGCCGGGTCCAAGAGGGTTTGCTAACTAAGGTATGCAAGGCTGAGCCAAGAGGGATGGTTGAATCTGTCTCAAGGTTGCAAGATAGCAACGAACTTTGGAAGTGCAGGCTGGGCCATCCCCGATGCCTCTTGTCCTACTATCAACATCTCAATGTCAAGTTCTCCACCCTTTCGCTTGATTTATTGACCTAACCACAGGCCAGCCCTGCTTCAAAAAAAAAAAAAAAAATACACTCTAGATCAGGGTTGCCAACCTTTTGGACCTCAGGGACCACCAAACTCATCATTTTAAATCCCGCGGACCAGAGACCCTGGGAAAATCCCCCCAAAAAGTCTTCAGGGAAATTCCCCACTCTGTTTCCTACCATTCTTTATTTGGGATAGCAGGATACTGTCTCCAGCTCCGTTCTCAGGGGGAAAGAGAGAGAGAGAGAGAGAGACTTTTGGCTTCATGCAAGGAAAGCAGCAGAAGCAGCAGCAGTTTTTCTTTCTCTCCCCCAAACTCCTCCAAAAATGAGCCTTTTCCAGTGCAGCCTCTTGGAGCAGGAGGCCTTGCAGGGTCCCAAAGACTCATTT